CTAACATTTACATTGTTACTTCAACTTTGGCTTCTAGGATTTTTGTTCTTTCATTTTGTTTTATAACTATATAACGTATTTACATGGCATCAAATATAAATCTATACCACAAATCATATGCAAAGAAGTCTAGTTTTTATCTTTATTCCCACTTATGTAATTCCACACCCCACCACTAATTACTGGATTTTACTGTTTATCCTCTCATTAAAAAATATATTCAAAACATGCATTTACATCAGTCCTGTTCTTAAGCAAACAATAGCAAAATGTATATTGTGGTCATCCGCTGTGGCTGCTCTCCTCAGGCTATGGCCACTCTCCTGCTCTCTTAGTTCCTCTGATCAGTCTTCTGGTCCGGACCCCAGGGCTGGTGAGGAGACTGTGTCAGCGGAGCCGCATTCAGACATAGGAGACCAGGTTCAGTGACACAGGTCTGCTTTATTGCAGGAAGGCACAAGCTTATATAGGGATAGTGGTCCAATCACAGCACAGCAAGTAGGATACCTTATTAGCATAACAGGTTTAGCATCCTATCACAGTACAGCAAGTAGGATACCTTGATTCCAAGGGTGGTGATTAGGGAGTGGTGAGCTCTAGGCATCAGTCTCATGATCTGCCAATGGGAGGAAAATGTCACAAGGCGTTCCTTGTGGCTCCAGCAGTCGGGCCTTTGCCTCAGGCCTACTGTATGGCTGTCAATAAGACTTTCACCCTAGGCTCAAGCCTGTCTCCCACAGTATATATATTTATCCAATTTTTAAAATGTAATGTTTTCCTCATTCTTTCCTCACCAATATTTCTTTCTACAGCTACATGGTTCCATCACATAAATGCATCATAGTTTAATTAATCTACTGATGAACATTTGGATGCTTAATTTTTTGTTATTCCAAGTACTGTTACCATGAATAGCCTATACATATGGATTTTCAGATTTTTTGGCAATACACCTATGAATCGATTCTTAGAAAAACTGGTGAGCAAAATAGTAAGTACCTACATAATTTTGCTTGAGGCTCACAAACTCTAGGTTTCTATGCTAATATGTAGAAATAATGACTATTTCCCTATAGGCTTGCCAACAGAGTATGCTGTCAAACTTTTGACTTTCTTGCTAATTTGATGAATAAGGAAGGCATCTCTCTGTGCCTTCATTCTTCATGACTTTCTTTATGGGTGACATCCAGCATCTAAATACTTAAGACATGTGGGCTTTTTTTTTTTTTTTTCTGACAAGGCAACTGGCCTTTTTTCTTGTTTCAGAAGCTTTTTTATGTTTTAAGGCTACTTTTTAAAAAAAATATTTTATTTATTATTTTTATTTTATATTTATGTGTGTATTTCCTGCATGTAGGTAAGTGCACCCATGTTGTATAATGCCTGTGGAACACAGAAGAGGCTGTAGGATCCCCTGGAACTGGAGTGACAGTTGTTAGGTGCCATGTGGGTGCTGGGATTCGAACCTGGGTCTTCTGCAAGAACAGTGTTCTAAACTGCTGAGCCATCTCTCCAGCCCCTTAAGGCTACTTTTATGTAAATTATATTTTCTTCTAGTTTGTCATATAATTTTTTGGTTTTTTTGCTTAAAGGCCAGCAAGATGGCTCAGCAGGTAAAGGCACTGGCTGCCAAGGCTGATGACCTGAGTTTGATCTCTGGGACCCAGAGGATAGAGGGAAAGAGCTAGCTTCTACAAGTTGTCCTCTGACCTCAGCATGTGTACTATGGCATGCAAGTGCCCCTCCCAAACAAATAAATAAATGTTTTAGAAATTTTTTTTTGCTTAAAGCTCATTTGGCCATATCAACTTAAAAATTTTTGTGGTTTATCTTTATTTTATGTATCAGTATTTTGTCTGTCTGTATGTAAGTGCATCTTGTGTGTGTATTTATTTATTTATTTATTTATTTATTTATTATTTGTTTATGTCAAGTTCTTCAAAATATTTATTCTTTCCCTTTTACCAAAAGTGTATTAGAGTTCCCATTTCAACCACTTCATCAACATTTGGTACAGTCACTCATTTCTGTCTCTTCTTAGTTTTAGCCATTTGAACAGGTATATATAGTTGTGTCCATTGTAGCTTTAATTTACATTTTGTAATTGACTGAAGATGTTGAGCATTTTCTAGTCCTTGTTTGCCATTCATAGACTTATAATGGTCCCCTCTAATTTTTTTTTCACACTAAATTCTGGTGGGGCTAGATGCAAATGCTTTGTCAGGTATGTGAGGAATCGATTTCCCACTCTGGGCTGGGCTTGTCATTCTCCTAGCAGTGTTTTGGGGGAAGTAGCCACTTGATTGGGGTATAATATCATGTTTAATTCATGAAAAGGAAGGTTTCTTTACATTTTTTAAAAGGGAAATTTAATCCTTTGTGAGTTAGTTTTTATAAAAAGTGCAAAGGTATTTTGAGGGTGTGTGCATATAAATATTCAATTGTTGCAGTGTCATTTGTGGAAATATACCCTCTACCAGCTTGCTTTTGCATTTCTGTCAGAATTCAATTCTCCATGCATTTGTTCATGGGTTTTTGAACTGCAAATCTACATGCTTGTCTTTATACCAATACCAATTGTTTTGATTATTGTAGTTTTACAGATCTTAAGATCAGATAGTATTGGTCCTCTAACTTTTTTTTCCCCTAAAGTTCATTTTGTTGTACATCTTTTCCATTTCCACAGAAATTCTCTCATTTTCTCAATTTCTAGAAAAAGTCTGCATTGGTATTGTATGAAATTGCATTTAACATATAGATTAATCTGTGTATAATTCACATTTGACAATATTGAACCTGCTAAACTGTGAATGTTATCCCTCTCCATTTGTCTTCTCTAGCTCAGCAGTTTTTCTGTGCTGTTTTCATGTTTTGTTAGAAATACCCCTAAGTAGTTCATGTTTTTAATGCTGTCATACTATTTTTAAATTCCAATTTCATTTTCTGATTGACCATTGCTTGTATATAGACATAATATTGTTTGCTCACTGTTCTCATATACTATAGCTTAAATTATCTCTGGTAAGTGATTGTGCTGCCTCTTGATAAAGACAATGCCTTCTATTCCTTTCCATCCTAATATCTTTTTTTTTCTTTTTGTACTTCTCTTATTGCTCTGTCAAGTACGCTTAAAGTGTAGGCTTTTTGTAGATGTGTTTATCCAGTTGCAGATGTCCCTTTCAGTTCCTCCTTCCCCTTGGAATTTTTAATAGGAGTGATGTTAGATTTATTTCAACTTTTTTTTTCCTCAACTGAAAAGATAACAAGATTTTTTTCTTTGCAGTTTGTTTATATGATAAATAACGTTGATTGATTTTAAAAGGTTAAACCAATGATTAATTCTTGGAATAAGTCTCCTTGGTCATGAAATACATCCTTTTAAAATGTTGGTGGATTAAATTTGGTCAAATTTTATTTTTAATTTTTGCACCCACATTTATGAGTGATATAATTCTGTCCTTTTGTCATTTGTTTCCCTTTAATTTTGGTTTTGGTATCAGAGCATTCTCATAGAATTGGACAGAAACTCTTGAAAAGAGAAATAGTTCTAATGTATCTGATTTTTCTTATGTGCTTGTTTTTATCATTTATCAAGAGAGGGAATTGGCATCTTCAACTATAATTGTGATTTTTGTTTAGTTTTGATGTAGATTAAATTTTAGACTACATGTTCTGTATACCAAATGCAATGAATTGTTTGATAAGAACTTTACTCTTAGCTGGTGGTGGCGCATGCCTTTAATTCCAGCACTTGGGAGGCAGAGGCAGAGGCAAGTGGATCTCTGTGAGTTCAAGGCCAGCCTGGTCTACATAGTGAGTTCCAGGACAGCTGGGGCTACAAGGAGACCCTGTCTTAAAAAGACCAAAAAAAAAAAAAAACCAAAAAAAAACAAAAAAAAAAAAAAAAACCAAAAAAAAACAAAAAAAAAAAAAAAAACCAAAAAAAAACAAAAAAAAAAAAAAAAACCAAAAAAAAACAAAAAAAAAAAAAAAAACCAAAAAAAAACAAAAAAAAAAAAAAAAACCAAAAAAAAACAAAAAAAAAAAAAAAAACCAAAAAAAAAAAAAAAAAACCAAAAACAGAACAAAAACCTCTCCTTTTGTTTATTGTGGGCAGTATATAAGATTAAAATTTTGGTTACATATATAAAGTACATATATTTGAGAAGTAATGTTAATTCTTTTTCATCCTTATCTCTGACTCTTTCTACTTAAAAAAATTTATTAGCTCTTTGAGAATTTCATATAATGTATTTTGATCATATTCACCCCTCCCCCTATTCCTCCCAGGTCCATCATCTCTTCCCTACTCAACCAACTTTGTGTCCTTTTTGTTTGGTTGGTTTTCAAACCCACTGAATCCAATTTGTGCTGCCCATATAGTCTTGTGTGTGGCCATCCTCTGGAGTATGGTCAACTTACCAGGGGCCATGCCCTTAAAGAAAACTGACTCTCCCAAACCCAGCAGCTGTCAATTGCTAATAGCTCCTTAGGTTTGGGCCCCACCTCCCCTCTCCAAGCTAGTATTTTGTATGACTTGAGTTTGTACATGCTGTCACAACCACAGTGAGTTCCCATGTGCAGCTGCCCTGTTCTGTACAGAAAATACTGTTTCCTTGTAGTCATCCACTACCTCTAGCTATTATAATCTTTCCTCTCCTTCTTCCAAGATGATCCCTGAGCCTTGGGAGGAGAGGGCATAATGTAGACAACCCTTTTAGGGCTGAGTATTCCACAGTCTCTTATTCTCTACACCTTGACCAGACCAGTTGTGGTCTCTATGTTAATCACCATCTGTTGCCAAAACAAACTTCTCTGATGAGGTTAAGAGCTATAGTAATCTGGGTCTCTAGATGATGCTCTAGTATTATTTTTAAAGGTGTCACTGCATGGTTTGTCCTGTTGTATTGCACTATTTGTAACATCTTTATTTGCAAATAGTTATTTACTACCTTTTATTGCTTTATGATTTATCTAATACATACCATTTTGCTTCACAGCATCTATGTTTTTGAAGCAGGCCTTTGAAGGTGAATACCCTAAGTTATTACGTCTTTATAATGAGTTATGGAAGCGTCTTCAACAGTACAGTCAGAATATCCAAGGAAATTTCAATGGAAGTGGAACTACTGACCTCTATGCTGACCTCCCACACATGGACGATGACACACAAGACATGTTCATACCAAAAAAATCAGATTATGAGTATGTTTATTTATTTAATGTTACCCTTTATTGGCATTTTAACATTTCTGTTTTTTATTTTCATTATAAATTAGAAATTGGGAACATATTAAGGTTCTAAATACTTAGAATGATTGGTATTTTTGTACAAGACTTACGGCAGATATTAAACTTTACTTGTAAGTGAGCATTCTGCTTTCTGTTTAAATCTGTTTTGAAGATAACACTAAATAAGGTAATTAGAAACTAAGAAATGAGCATATGTGATCATTGATTTTTAATTGACATTTTAGTATACTTGTAATTAGATTGTTATTGATAAGCCACTGGTACAAATGTGACATGAAATGATGTTATGTTTCAAACTACTGGGGAGATAAATCTCATGCTGGAATAATATCTTAGTATTTTAGAAAAAGACTGAGTATAGTCAGAAGTCGCCTAGGTAATTCTTTGGATCACACACCAAGCACACTTTGTGACTGTCTTTAGGGGCTATATTGGAAAGCAGTATACACCTCTGTGAATCAACCCAGCTAGCTTTCCTCAAAAACTGATGTGGAATGATTTCAGATTTCTATTTGAGCACCAGATTAAATGATTGGCTTTCATACCTTTGTTAAGCACTAGAATCATACTTATTGTCACAACACTGACTAAAGTAACATCATACTCTGATCAGTTGGTAAGAAAAATGCTGGGTAGATTTATGAGTAGTATTTAACCAACTCTTTCTCTTTTAATTTTCCCCTAAATATAGTTAGAAGTTCGGACTGGCAAAATATGTGACCAGGATAGGCTGGAATGTTGGGATGAGACCTGATTGTCTCCTCAGTAACCATTTTAGGATAATCATGGAGATTAGCTAAGACATAATGCAAGAGAGGATAAAGCTACAATGACTTAATAATATGTTAGAATTTTAAGAAGTGGATATGAAATAGTATATATTGTATCATTGTATTTCTGGCTTAGTCTTTTAAATCTATGTATATGCACAAACTAGAAAAAAAGTGGAAATTATATAAAACAAATGATATAACAATACTTTATATCCAGAAGGTAGAATTCTTACTTTGCATTTTTTCTTTTTATTTAAAATGACTATATTTTGCATTTTTTAAGATGATAGATTAAAGCCAGGCATGGTGGCACATGCCTTTAATCCCAGCATTTGGGAGGCAGAGGCAGGAGGATCTCTGTGAGTTTGAGGCCAGCCTGGTCTACATAGCGAGTTACAGGCCACCTCAAAAAGACAAAAAAATAAAAGTATATTCAATGAAGGGGGGAAAAACTAGAGAACTGGAGTTAAAATAAGACACTGTATTTCAACTAATGGGGCATTATTATTACCCTTTCATATGAATTCATAACATAATTCATAAAACATAAAACATAGTTCAGTGGAGTTGTTAGGTGAGGAAGAAGAGATAGAATCCATAATCTGTGAAGTCAAAAAACAAAAATATTGAGTTATAAGGAAAACAACACAATGGATTTAAAATAGTTTTTTTTAGAAGTAAGGCAAAAAGAGAATGTGAGTTTTACTGCATTAATTGAATCAAAAGAAGGTTTATTTGTTCTTGTGTTTTTAATACTAGAGAGAAATTTGATTAGCTAGAAGTAGTCAGTGGAGAGAAAAAGAGATGGAAATGCAAGAAAGAAGAGATAGTGAGTGGAGCAAGGGCTTAGAAGAGTAGGAGTAGAGCCAAGCCATCATTCACTGTACATGCTGAATTTCCAATAGTGATCATTGCTGTGAAGAAAGTGAAACTGGGGCTGGAGAGATGGCTCAGCAGTTAAGAACACTGGTTGTTCTTGCAGAAAACCCAGGTTTGAATCTCAGCACCCACATGGCAGCTAACAACTGTCCATAAATCCAGTCCCAGTGGATCCAACAGCCTCTTCTGACCTCTGCGGGCATTGCATGACACAGGTGCACTTACCTACATGCAGGCAATATATGCATACACATAAAAAGAAATAAAATTAAAATTTTTTTTTTAAAAAGTGAAACTAAGTAGTATGATAAAGTGCTCAGAGAAGGCTTCTGTGTGGAGGTCATGTTTGACCTAAGGTCCAGATAATGTGAATATGTTGACCATAAGGGATTTGGAGTAAAATTTTTACAGCTAGAAGAGCAACTTTATTGCCCTGATTTAATAGAGATTAGGGTGTTAGACTGAGTAGATCGCTCATGGGGTAAGATGCTTAACATGCAAGCATTAGCATCTGAATTCCATCCCCCAGTACTCATGTAAAAAAGCCATGTGTAACTGGGTGCCTTAATCCCAGCGCTGGAAGGAGGAGACTCCAGGGCTCACTGGCCAGTCATTTTAACCAATCAATGACCTCTTGGCTCATTGACAGACTCTGTTTCAAAAGAAAATAATAATAATAATAATAATGATGATGATGATGATGATGATGCAGAGGTGTTGGAAAGAGAGCTCAGCAGTTAAGAACACTGGCTGTTCTTGTATAGGACCTGGGTTCAGTTCCCAGTACCCACATGGTGATAACAGCTATTCATAATGCCAGTTCCAGAGAATCAAACGCCCTTTTCTGGCCTCTGTGCGCATTGCACAATATGGGTGCACTGAGGTACATGCAGGCAAAACACTCATACACGTAAAATAAAAATAAAAATTAAAAAAAATTCTAATACATGGAGAGTGGTAGGTGAAGATGCCCAATGCCACCCTCTGGCCTTCACCTGTGTGCATACATGTACACATATAAGCATGCACACATGCACATACAAACATGATCACATACACACAGCAAAAAAATTATGAAGATTTGAGAAAAAGAAAGAAGCTAGTCCATTTGGAATATAGTAAATAAAAATATAGGTAATATGGGACAGAGAGGAAGGGAAGGGTGAGATTTTACATAGGATTCTAAACACCATGGTAAGGCCTTAGACTTTATTCTAATATAGTTGGAAATTACTCATTTTAAACAGAAGGACAAATGGTTTGAAATTAGCACTCTGCTTCTATGTGGACAACTAAACTGGGTCAGCACACAGGAAGTGGAGGGCAGCTGTATTGTTCCTTCACACAAAAGATGATGATGACTTGAATTGGGATGGGTAGATGAGATGCTAAAAATTGATTGTATTGATGCAATATGTATTTGGAATTATAATGTGTTTTTGGGATAAGCCAGGAGAACTTCCCAGAAGATTAAATTTGAGAAGAAATGAGGAAGCAGGTATATGACCAGACAAGTTGGTAGAAAACTAAACATTGGAAGACTATTTTTCCAAAGCATTTTGTTGACTTAAGGTTTTTCTTTCAAAACTTCTGAGTCGAAAAGAGTTAGGGCTAGAAATGTATACTGTCTATTATGGGTCACTTAGTGACAGGTCAAGTTCAGCTGCATTATTAGACTTTTTGCCATTGTAGAATCTATTTACGCAAACCTCGATTGTGTGGGTAAATAATACCTCATGTCCTGGTAATATAATCAAGAGATATGGTAAGCATAGATGTATGAGGCTGCTGCTGGTGTAACACAGTAGCCTATTTTCCAGTAAACGTTGTGCTTTATAAGTAGAAGGAATATACTGTAACATAATTACAAAATGTAGTTTGGTTATGTAAGCCAGTAGCATAGTCATTTATTATTATCAAGCATATTGTTCTGCATATTGTATGTGCTATACTTTTTGGTGCGGCTAGCAGCACTAGATTGGTTTGCACACCAACATTTCTACAGACATGTGAGTAATGTTGTGATCTTGGACAATATGACTACTATGATGTTTTCAGCTGCATTATAATCACCATCATAAATGTGGTGTATTGTTGATCCAAACATCCTTATGCAACACTCAACTGTATTTGGGAATCATCATCATGTAGATCTAAGAAGAAATCATGGAATTGGAAAGCATTACATTAGGAATGTATATATTTGTCAGAGAGAGAGAGAGAGAGAGAGAGAGAGAGAGAGAGAGAGAGAGAACCTTGGCCCAAGACATAGCATTTCTGTGTCTATGGACAGAGGAATAGGGACCCTACAAAGAGACTTAGGAAAAAATGATAAATAAGATCACAGCTTACAGTACTGTGCAGCCCTAAGAATGAATTCATTTAAATTGGGAGAGGACCAGTCACCTGTGTCATGCCCTTGAGAAGCTGAGGTCTTGATATGATAATGTGGAAGTTATTGTAGTCCTAGATGTGGAATGGTAGATACAAACTCATTATTAGAATTGATTGCAAGAGAAAGAAGGAAAGTTGATTTCCTGACAACTTCAATAACACTAGTGAAAACTACAAGCTATTCTAAATACAGTAGCAGACAGTATGTATTTTCCAAAGGGGGTTATAGAAAGACAAGAGCCTGTGTCACTTCAACCAGCATTGCTCCTCTCTCTCCCAAGTTCAGTGACGTGGAGACTACTCTAAACAGCAACCACCAAACCCAACTCCCAGCTGTATGCTTTCTTCCTCAGAAGAGCAGGACTTTAGTATTTCTCACCATGCCCCTAGGTGCCTGTTGTTGATGCTGACTCCCAGGCTACTATAGCCAAGAAGTGAAACAGAGCTCCCTTGTGTTCAACTCTCAACAAAAACATGATCACAGCAAGCTAAAAATACTGGGGCCCTGCTAACTTTAGCCTGGGTTTATGTAATAGGTGATTTCTTGCCAGGCAATGACACAGAGATGGCCAAGCTATTGCCCCCTCCCTGGAGCGAGGTGTTACTCTAAAAGAAGCTTGCACCTTTTTCCACACAGCTTTAGAGCTCTAGAACAGAGATTTTGCTTGGGGGAAATGCACTCATTCAAACAACCCCTTCTCTCTTCCCAAGTAACTGATTCCATTGGAACCAAATCCAGGTAAGTGTAAACCCAAAGGCACCTCACAAACCAGCATTGAAAAGTACAGTAACTGAAATAAAAAATTGACTAAAAAAAGGTCACTATTAGATTTGAACTGACAGAAAGAAGAATTGGCTAACTTGAAGCCGGATCAACATTTTATGCAAACTGAAGAACAGACAGAA